CCCACGGGCTCAGGCAATCCACTCACCTCAGCCTCCCAAAGGCACAGGATTACAGCTGAGCCACCGAGCCCAGCTCTGGGGGAAATTTTTTAAAAAATTGTACTAAGGCATGTAATAATCAAGAGATTTTATTGTTATTGGATAATAGGGTCCTACTGGTTAACATTTTAGGCTACTGGGCACTGTAGCTCACGCCTGTAATCTCAGCACTTTGGGAGGCAGGTGGAGGTGAAAGGGTTTCCTGAGTCTGAGGATTCAAGACAGCCTGGGCAACTTGTCAGGACCTCATCTCTCAAATAAACAGAAAAATTAGTTGGGCATGGTAGCATGTTCCTGTAGTACCTACTCAAAAAACAAAAAGAAAGAATTTAGGCTCTGGAGTTGAACTGCTTAAGTTTGAATCCTGGCTCTACCACTTACTAAATAACTATGTAACCATAAGCATATAGTAAAATAGCGGTCATAATAGGTATTATTAGCTAGGACTACAGGTGCATCCCACCATGTCCTGCTAATTTTTGATATTTGTAGAGACAAGGTCTCATTATATTGCACAGGCTTGTCTTAAACTCACGTCCTGAAGCGATCCTCCCACCTTGGCCTCCCAAAGTCCTGGGATTACAGTTGAGAGCAGTTGTGCCTAACCATTCATAAGTAAATATTAAAAGTCTTTTAGGAGTTGAATAGCAAGTTACATTAGAAATTTTTAAGAATATACTTAGATTGTAGTTTTCAGTACAGATTAAATAAAAGATTTGTGTTTCCCACCTAATCTTCATATCTTGGTTTTAAAGTGTCCAAGTCAACTTTGAATGATAGTCTATCTGGTAACAAACTGATAATAGTCAGATTGTCTCCATAAGTCTTTTTTAAAGAAATTAAGATGAGACCTGGTACAGTGGCTCATGCCTGTACTCTCAGCACTTTGGGAGGCAGATGTGAGAGGGTTACCTGAGCCCAGGGGTTTCGAGACCAGCCTGGGCAACATGGCGAGACCTCATCTCTACAGTAAATCGAAAAATTAGCCGGGTGTGGCGGTGTGTGCCTATAGTTCCAGCTACTTGGAAGGTTGGGGCTTAATGATCACCTGAGCCCAGCAGGTCAAGGCTGCGGTGGCTGTGAGCATGCCACTGCACTCTAACATGGACGACAGAGTCAGACTCCCACTCAAAAAAAAAAAAAAAAAGAAATTAAAATGTAGTTGTCTCAGTTCCTAGTAGCTCTATAAACATGAAGAACTAATTATACTCTTTTCAGTGAGCTTTAGCTTCTGTGAGTATTTAGAAGCATGAGGTTCAAGTTCTGAGGGAAGCAGTCTTTATTTATTTATTTTTGAGTTGGAATCTTACTCTGTCTGTCACCCAGACTGGAGTGCAGTGGCATGCTCACAGCCACCATAACCTCAACTTGCTTGGCTCAGGCAATCCTTGCGCCTCAGCCTTTCGAGTAGCTGGAACTGTAGGCATGCGCCACCTTGCCCGCCTAATATTTGACTTATTGTAAAGATGAGGTCTCACCAAGTTGCCCAGGCTGGTCTTGAACCTGTGGGCTCAGGCAATCTTCTCACCTGGGCCTCCCAAATGGCTGGGATTTTAGGTGTGAGCCACCTGGAAGCAGTCTTAAAGTTGAGTAGTAACTTACACATCATTGAATTGAGCCTATAGTCCTTTGGTATCCTTGAGCAGGGTCATTGTTCATCATTATTTGAATTATTCTAGTTAATTTATTCAGCATACTCTTTATTGAACACCTACTCTTTGCCAGTTGGGTCCTGTTTTAGGAATTCAGGAGGGAAGATTGCCTTCTGACAGAAGGGCTCACCAACCCATTTTCAAGATGTGGCTCTAAGAAAATGTTAACATGTATATCTTCCTGGAGTAAATGGAGGAAATGCTCTTAGTTCAAGTATTTCTGGGTATCTTCTGGGCACCAAAATATATCTCAGCACACTTGTGACTCTCTTGTGGTATACCGGATAGGCATATTAAACACAAAACTGTTTTCCTTTCATGGGGGAAGATTTGGATGGTTTGTGAGATATTAAAGGCAAGGATATGAGTTTAGAGCTGAGATGGAGGCATTTTAATTCTAGCTCAGTTCTGGATCTGTTATTTCTGGAGAAGAAATGTAGCCAGGGCCTCTGCATTCCAAGGGGCTTCATTGATATTGTATTCTGTATTGGTGGTATCCCTTAGAGTTGCATGGTGCCCTGTTCTGGGTGTCGCCTGCCTTGTATGTCTTGGGGAAAATCAGGTTTGTTGTATTGGCTTAACTAGTGTCTAGCCTACATATCTCAAGATTTTTTTATTAGCTCGACACAGTGGCTCATGCCTCTAAGCACTTTGGGAGACTGAGGCAAGAGGGTGCCTGAGTCCAGGGTTTCAAGACCAGCCTGGGCAACTTGGTGAGACCTCATCTCTACAGTAAATAACAAAATTAGGCCGGGCTCGGTGGCTCAGCCTGTAATCCCAGCTCTTTGGGAGACCGAGGTGAGTGGATTGCCTGAGCCCGCAGGTTCGAGACCCGCCTGGGCAACTTGACAAGACCTCATCTCTACAATAAATCAAAAATTAGCCGGGCGTGGTAGCGCACGCCTGTAGTTCCAGCTACTCGGAACGCTGAGGCGGAAGGATCGCCAGAGCCCAGCAGGTTGAGGCTGCAGCCTGGGCGACAGATTGTGACTCTGACTCAAAAAAAAATAAAAGATTTATTTCATTAGAGCCATTATGATTTTTTTTCTAAAGCCATTATTGTAAATCAGCTAATAGAAATGTCTGTGTTGTTTGGAAAAGGATGTAGATGACCACCGCCCCCAATGTGCTAGGATCACCTGGAGAAGGGATTATAGTCTCTCTACGTTGTCAAAAATTATTTTTGTAATTTTTTTTAGATTAGAAAAAATAGTTTATTTAAAAGTAAGTGAGAGAGAGAGAAGATTAATCTCCCCAAGGTGGAGGAGGGGACCAAAGCCAGGAAGCATGGTGACAACCATAGCTTAAAGAGTACATGGCCACACCAGTCTAGCAAGGCAACAGTCTGTAATTTTTTAAGTCTGTTTTTGTTTCTTTCATGTTTTGATCCAAGGACTAGAATAACTTTAGTATAACTCAATATATCATTTCCTTGGGATTTTTTTTTTCCAGTCTGAGTCTCACTCTGTCACCCAGACTGGAGTGCAGTGGCATGCTCACAGCCACCACAGCCTTGACCTGCTGGACTTAGGTGATCATTCCACCTCAGCCTTATCTGTAGCCAGAACTATAGGCACGTGCAACTAAGCCCAGCTAATTTTTAAATTTATTGTAGAGACTAAATTTCGCCAGGTTGCCCAGACTGGTCTTGAACCCTGGACTCAGGCAGTCCTTTCACCTCAGCCTCCCAAAGTGCTGGGATTACAGGTGTGGGCCACTGTGCCCGGCCAGTTTTTTTTTTTTTAAATTAAATATTTTAGTGTTTAGTTATTTAAAAATCCAACCAGGATTAATTTTATTTTCAGAGTACAGATAGCCTAGTTATATAAAACAATTATAAGTTGAGAACTACTAATATATAAGGAGCTATGCTATGGACAATTAAGACAAAATAATTTGGTTGTACTTATTTTGTAATTCCTAGCTTAGAATGTTTTCAACCTGAAATATTTAGTCATTAATTTCTCAGAAGAGTAATAAGAAGATGATACACTGTCGCAAAAAGTTTTGATTCTTATTGATGCCCTATATTTTGTCTGTCTAAAGTGTCAACCCAAGAAAAAGTCTACGCCACTGAAGTATGAAGTTGGAGATCTCATCTGGGCAAAATTCAAGAGACGTCCGTGGTGGCCCTGCAGGATTTGTTCTGATCCGTTGATTAACACCCACTCAAAAATGAAAGGTAATAATGACAGATGACTGTTCATGATAAAATACAGTATGAAATAATGAACTTGCCATTGCCTTTAGTACCTTTAGTATAACTCAGTTTTTGTTGCTTTTAGTAATAATCTATTTTTTCGTTTGAGCATTTTCTGAATGATCTGTCATTACCATTAACATATTTTATATTTTTGGATTTTTACGTTTGTTTTACTTTATGATTTAAAAATTTTCAGTTATTCTGTCTGTAAATGCCAGGAAATTGTTAGACCATTTTGCTAAAGTTTACATTGTCCAGGATCACCTTTCAGTATATTTATGTTTCTGCTTTAATCTTCAGGTTTATATCATTTTTGATAAGTTGACAGCCTAATCAATTAGAAATATTGTAATTATAAATATAATTGTTTTGAGTTTTAAATTTTTGATTTGGGATATTTCCACTGTTATTTCTTTTTCTTTTTTTCTTTTTTTTTGAGTTGCAGTCTCACTCTGTCGCCCAGGGTGAAGTGCAGTGACACACTCATGGCTAACCGCAGCCTTGACATACTGGGCTCAGGCGATCATTCTGCCTTAGCCTTCCAGGTAACTGGAACTTCATGTGTGCACTAGCACACCCAGCTAATTTTTTGATTTAGTGTAGAGACTAGGTCTCACAAAATTGCCCAGGCTGGTCTCAAACCTCTAAGAATTCCTAAACTCAGGCAGTCCTCTTGCTTCGGCCTCCCAGAAGTGCTGGGATTACAGTCTTATGCCAATTTACCCAGCCTGTTATTTTTATTTATTTATTTATTTACTTACTTTTTCAGTTGGAGTCTCTCTTCTGAGATTCAAATGCAAAAAACATATAAGAAATAAAAATACTGGGATTACAGGCTAGGCTTGGTTGGCTCAGCCTGTAATCCCAGTATTTTTATTTTTTATATTTTTTGTATTTGAATTTCAGGGACGTACCTTTAAGTTACTGTAAAGGTAGGTGCTGACACTTTATCTTCAGGTCTCTTTTTTCTGTTAAGATGGTGGTGTTTTTATTGTAATTTATTTATTTATATATATTGTTTGAGTCCGAGCCTCACTATTTCGCCCAGGCTGGAGTGCAGTGGCATACTACAGCCACTGCAGTCTTGACCTGCTGGCCTCTGGTGATCCTTCCTTCTCAACCTTCCGAGCAGCTGGATCTATAGGTATGCATCACCATGCCTGGGTACTGTTTTGATTTATTGTAGAGACAAGATCTCGTCATGTTGCCCAGGCTGGTCTGAAACCTTTGGGCTCAGGCAGTCCTTTCACCTCTGCCTCCCAGAGTGTTGGGATTACAGGCACCCAGTGATCTTATTGTAATTTCAAAGAGAAAGGGTCTCCCTCTGTTTCCAGGCTGGAGTGCAGTGGAGTTCATCTTCTGGGCTTAAATGATCTTCCCATCTCAGCCTCCCAAGTATCTGGGAATATAGGTGTGAGCCATTTTGTCTGGCTATTGTCATCTTAATATATGTATTTTCATTTTTTGTTTTGTTTCGTTTTTTTGAATTGGAGTCTCATTCTGTCGCCCAGGCTGTGAGTGCAGTGGCATGCTCACAGATACCGCGGCCTTGACATGCTGAGCTCAGGTGATCCTTCCACCTCAGCCTTCTGAGTAGCTGGAACTACAGGCACGTATCACCATGCCTGGGTAATTTTTTGATTTATTGTAGAGATGAGGTCTCACCAAGTTGCTCAGACTCGTCTTGAACCTGTGGGCTCAGGCAGTCCTCTCACCTTGGCCTCCTAAAGTGCTGGATTTACAGACTTGAGCCACTCTGCCTGGCCTGTATTTTCATTTTTTAATTGTTCATATATTAATGAGATTCAAAAAAATCAACTCTCTCTCTTGCTGTGATCTGCCATATTATTCACCCCTTTGTTCAGTGGGTAACTAATTGGTATTAATGTATTTTTCTAGAGCTTCTTTATAGATAACCAAACAGAAATTGTCAAGTGCCACTCCCCTTTTATTTTGTTGTTTGTTTGTTTGATATGGAGTCTCACTCTTGTCACCCAGGCTGGAGTGCAGTGGCACACTCATGGCCACTGAAGCCTCGACTTGCTGGACTCAGGCGATCCTTCCACCTCAGCCTTCCAAGTAGCTGGAACTATAGACATACACCACCATACCCGGTCAGTTTTTGTGATTTATTGTAGGGATGAGGTCTCACCAAGTTGCCCAGGCTGGTCTCAGACAATCATCTCACCACGGCTGCCCAAAGTGTTGTGATTATAGGCTGAGCCACCACAGCTGGCCTATTTCATTGCTAGTATTATTATTATTTTTGAGTAAGAGTCTCACTCTGTCACCCAGGCTGGAGTACAGTGGCATGATCACAACTTACTGAGCTCTGAACTCCTAGGTTTAGGTGATTCTCCCCCCTTATCCTCCTCAGTAGCTGGGACTGTAGGCGTGTGCCACCACACCTGGCTAATTTTTAAATTTTCTGAAGAGACTGGTTCAATATGTTGGTCTTGGCTGGTCTTGAACTTCTGGGCTCAAGTGATTACAGGTCTCCCAAAATGCTAGGTTTACAGGCATGAGCCGCTGCACCCAGCCTCTTTTTTTATTTTAGCATTACAGTATCATATTTTGTACTGGGTCCTATGTCTCAAGCCTGTAATCCCAGCACTTTGGGAGGCCAAGGCGAGAGGATTACCTTGAGTCCAGGGGTTTGAGATCAGCCTGGGCAACTTGATGGGACCTCATATCTACAATAAGTCAAAAAATTAGCGAGGCATAGTGGCGCATGCCTGTAGTTCAGCTACTTGGAAGGCTGAGGCAGAAGAATCATCTGAGCCAAGCAGGTCAAGGCTGTGGTGGCCATGAGTGTGCCACTGCACTCCAGCATAGGTGACAAAGTGAGACTCCAACTCAAAAAAATAAAAGTATCATATTTTATGTGTATTTTATTGTTTGGTTTTTCTACTTCCTGATTTTTTTCATGTTTTCTTGTAGAATGATTTCCACAAAGTGGAATTGCTTGATTTGATTTTATACTTTGAATATCTGAACTCTCATAAGACCTGTATAAGTTTATTGGCTTTGTTTTTGAGTTGGAATCTTACTCTGTTGCCTAGGCTGGAGCGCAGTGGCATGCTCATGGTTTACCCAGTCTAAACTTCCTGGGCTCAGACAATCCTTCCACCTCAGCTTCCCTAGTAGCTGAGACTACAGGTATATCCCACTATGTCTAATTTTTAAAATTGTAGAGATGAAGTCTCACTACGTTGCCCAGGCTGTTCTCAAACTCATGGGTCCAAGTATTCCTACTCATGAACCTCCCAAAGTGCTGGGATTACAAGCGTGAGCCACCATATCCAGCCAAGTTTATTGTTTCAAAAGATGGTTACCTCATCCCTTGTGGCCTTCCTGGATAGTTAAATTCTACTAATACAAAATTCCTTCAGGCTGGGGTCGGTGCAGGTTTGAGACCAGCCTGGGCAACTTTGCGAGACCTCGTCTCTACAATAAATAAAAAAAATTAGTTGGCCATGGTAGTATGCGCCTGTAGTTCTGGCTACTTGGAAGGCTGAGGCAGAAGGATCCCTGGAGCCCAGCAGGTCGACGACGCTGGGGTGGCCGTGAGCGTGCCACTGCACTCCAACCTGGGCAACAAAGTGAGACTCCAACTCAAAAAAATAAAAAAATTAACCAGGTGTGGTGTTGGGTGCCTATAGTTCCAGCTGCTTGGAAGGCTGAGGTGGAAGGATCACTGAGCCCAGCAGGTCGAGTCTGTGGTGGCCGTGAACATGCCACTGCACTCAAGCCTGGGCGACAGGTAAGAGACTCCAACTCAAAAAAAAAAAAAGAAAGAAAGAGAAAATTACCTGTAGCCTCTCTGTTCCTGTGATGTTGCTGATTTCTTATTCGTTTAAGTTTTTCTTACACACACTAATTGAGTCCATGCCATCTAGGTTGAGGAATATTCTAGGTTCTGGGATTCAGTGATTGGTAAAACATGAGTCTTCTTGGCTGTCTTAGAAATTGGAGTCTAGTGCAAGAAGAAAGACACTAGCAAATAAGCAAACAGATAGTTACTTAACTGAGAAATATGTCCCGGAAAAAATTGTAACATGCATTCAGTGATGTACAGGAGTAACGAATCTGTACTTTTGGTGTGGAGTTGTTCTTGGGCAGTTTCGCCAGCAAAGTTATCTTTGATCTGAGACTGGACTGGGTGAGTTAGGATAAATAGGGCAAAGAGAAAAAGATGGTTCCAGGAACAGAAAATAGTCTGTCCTCTGGTCCTGAAAGATCTGCAGCCCATGGAGTAGTGGAGGGAGATCATAGGCCGCATTGTCTGGTACCTAGTCGACTTTGTTGAAAACTTTGTATTTTATCCTGAGAACAACGGGATGTCATTCAAGGGCCATGAACACAGGGTTCCATTTTCTGATCTGTGCTTTTTAAACCTTTGCTCTTGCTGCAGTGTGGAAAATAGATTGGAGGGAGCACAGGTGAATAAGAGGCAGCAATTTAAAGGAGCCACTGCAGTGATTGTGCTGTGATGACGCTACGTAGAACTGTGAATGGAAAATAATGTACGGTTTAGCAGATAAAATATATCAGGCTTAGTAATGGACTAGATAATGGGGCGTGAATTCCCTAGGTTTCTGGCTTTCAGTTTTCGGTGTCAGGATAGCTCCTACGTTTTTAGCACCATCATTGGATGAATATTGTTGCTGTTTATTGAGAGAACACAGGAACACATGTAACTTAGAAGTGCCATCTGCTTGTTCCTATTAGTTGGAGCTGTGGGCAAGACATGGATGAGATGGCCTTGGGACAGAATATACTGTGAGAAAAACCTGCTTTGAGGAAGCCTTCATTTGAGGTCTATTTGGAAGATGCTGAGCTTGCAAAAGCGATGAAAAAGAATCAGATGAAAGAGGAAAATGAGGTGTCTAGTGACTAGAGTGCACACGTATTCACAGGTGATATGTTCCAAGACCCTTGAGTGAAGACATATCTGTGCTAAAGTTTTACTTGTAAAT